TATTTTGAATATAACCGGTGATAGCAATAAAAGACATCCAAAAATCATTAGTTTTTAAAAATTTGTATTATAAAATCCGGGAGGGCTAGACGTTATTCCGTTCTTTGATAGCATTGAACGAAGAGATCTTAATATCATTAGGTTGACAACTTAGGTAGAGTGAAATATCGTGCAAGACTGGTAGCAAAGGGTTACACTCAAAAGTTTGGAGTTGATTATAATGAAACCTTTTCTCCAGTCATAAGGCATTCTACGTTAAGACTTTTTATTTGCTTTGTCAGCAAATTTGAATTTGGATATTTTTCATCTTGATGTAGCTACGGCTTTTCTAAATGGTCATCTAAAGGAAAATGTTTTCATGACTATACCTGAAGGTCTAGAAGTCGAAAATAACAAAATTTTAAGGCTTAAGAAAGCCATATACGGTTTAAAACAGTCAGCTAGGTCTTGGTATGAAAAAGTCGATAACTTCTTAATTAATCTAGGTTATAAGAAATCTGATTATGAGCCATGTCTGTACACAAAGATGAAAAATAGTCTAAAAACCATTATCTCTGTTTATGTTGATGATTTTGTTATTTTTTCTAACGATTCAGATGAATCAGATAATTTAAAATTGAAATTAAATGAATGTTTCAAAATTAAAGATTTAGGAGAAATTAAGAATTGTTTAGGTTTGAGAGTAACTCGTAATATAGAGAATGGTGTTATAACTCTAGATCAAAAATCCTATATTGAACAATTGTTAAAAAGGTTCAATATGGAGGATACAAAAGAAGTTACTACCCCAATGGAGATTAGTTTAAGTTTGAATAGAGAAGATAATGCATCTCCTCAAGTGCCTTATCAGAATTTAATAGGTGGTCTTATGTATCTGTCAGTTTTGACAAGACCAGACATTTCATATTCTGTAAGTTATCTCAGTCAATTTAATAATTATCATTCAGAAACGCATTGGAAGCATGTAAAACGAATATTAAAATACTTAAAGGCTACAAAAGAGTATGGATTAAGTTTTTCAAAAAATGATAATTATTTAAAAGGTTATGTAGATGCGAGTTGGGGGAGTAATTCTCATGACAGAAAATCTTATACTGGTTTCTATTTTCAGTTTTCTGGTGGACCTATTGTCTGGGAAAGCAGAAAACAGAATAGTGTTTCTCTGTCAAGCACGGGAAGCTGAATATATAGCAGTATCGGAAGCTGCTAAAGAGGATATTTTTTTAAAGAATTTGTTGTATGAAATGTTGGGTAGGTATTGATGAAATTGTTATACTATATAATGATAATATGGGAGCTCAGAAACTAGCAATAAATCCTGTATTGAATAGAAGAACAAAACACATTGATATCCGATATCATTTTGTCAAAGAAGCTGTAAACAAAGGTTTGATAAAGCTGGAGTATTTAGACACAGCTAACATGCCAGCTGATCTCTTGACAAAAAGCTTGAGTCCTGTAAAACACAACAAGGTTTTGAAAGAGATTGGTTTAGTTAATGTAGTTAATGTAGTGACTGCTGTTTATGAAACTAAAATTTACCATGGTACAATAAAGTATTTTGATTGTACTATGAAAATTTACATTGTTGACATTGACTTTTTAGCATAGAGTTTTAGGCATAGATAAGAAGGTTAGGTTGTTTTAGGTTATACATAATCATATTGTATGTTTGTTTGTATATATACAAAATTCTTTCTTTACTAAAGGTTCTTCTGTGTTTAGTTATAATTTATGGTATTTGTAATCGTCCGTATTGGACGTATTGTATGTAGGTAATATTATTACTTTATCATTTTGCAATCTCAAATATGTCCAAACCCGGTAAATATGTTCATGGGTGTTTAGCGTCCTTTTGTAATAACAAATATTTTCATCCTATCACAGACCCAAATTATAAAAATAAAAAGTTTTTTAGATTTCCAGAAACAGATTTAAAAAGACGTCATAACTGGTTTGAAATTATTGGTATTGAATTTACTGAAACTAGGCGTTATTTATGTGAAGATCATTTTTAGGAAACACAATTTACAAGCAGTTTAAAAACAAAACTGTTGAATAATGCAGTGCCTTTCAAAATAATTCACATATCCAATGTTCATAATCAACTTTTGCCTATATCTGCACATTCTTCTGAAGAAATTTCTGTTTCAAATGTATACATTCATAGTAATGTTCAAATAGTTCCTCCAAAATTATCCTCCATTAATAACCCAATCAATAATAAACAGTCAATTTCCAGTCAGTATGATAATGAGTATGATACACCACCACCTAAACGTAAGCGATTGCATATTTTAAAAGAAATTAATGAAAATAGAGTAAAAGATCTTTTTCCTAAAAAGAAAAAGTTATATTTTTTAAATCGAACTCATAGAAATTCTATTTTTAAATTAAAATACTCTATAAAAGTTACTAAACAGAAATTAAAATTTGCATATGAGTTTTCTAAAGGTGAAAGGTTTAGGGAATTAGAAGATAATATGGACCCTACAATTGCATCATTTTTTTAAAAGTGCTTTTTCAAATTGTAAAGTTAAAAGGCCTACTTGGACAACACGTGATAAGGTATATGCTTTGGCTTTATACAAAAGGGGTCCTAGATGTTACAGATTTTTGAAACGTAGTATACCATTACCAGCTAAAAGTACCCTTCAGAAATTCTTAACGAACGTTCCTTTTGCAGCTGGAATAGATATCCAGTTATTAAAGCAACTTTCTAAAAGAGTAAAAACCATGAGACCATTAGATAGGTATCGTTCCTTAGTTTTTGATGAAATATCACTAGGCTATCAGCCTATTTTTCTAAACTCTTCTCCATTTCTTTATTTAAATAAACTATTTTTTAAGTTCACAACATTGATTTTCTTTTAATATGCTTTGGTACTTCAGTCAAATAGTTAATGGTAAATTTTATATATTGTATTCATATTTATATAACTAACTTCGTATAGTAGTCCCCAGTACAAGGAAAATTGTGTATTAAACGTCTTTGAGAACTAAGCGTTCAAAAACGTAGCAACTCCGAAATTTTTCACAGAGGAAAAGTTTGTCAGACACGTTGCAAGGAATGCATACACAATGAAATTTTAGGTCCATGTACTGGAGACTATAGTGTAGTCAAAAAGTTTTTTATTGGCAAATATTTCTCTTATGAACATATATTTAAATTGCAGGTTTGTTCGATTTGTTTATCACCTAAAAGTATTTTACTTATTTATTGTAAGAGTTATTATTTTAAGGGTATTTATTTTAGCTTTAGTAAAGTTCTCTGTGTATTGTGTAATATTTTTCTTTCAATATTTTTACGCTACCTACTAATCAAATTTGTAATATCTGCATTTTGTAAAATTTAAGATAAATAAAGAAGAGCGGGGACATGCATGCATTTTGTGTTGATCTGTGTTTTATATCTCAAAACTTTATATTTCAAAACAATTGTTCTGTATATGTTTTTTTATTTTGTTTTATCAGCACTCCATACATGCATGCGGTAAGTGGGGGGTCCCTGTGAGGATTAATAAAACATGTGTAGTTTTTTTCCCCAGTGTTCATGTCCCCTATTTTTCTGAAAATTTATGAGGAAAATATCGATGGCTTAGCATCGAGAAATCCTTCTATCTCATTTTACAGATAATTTTACAGGAGAGACTTTAAACTGAACTTTTGCATACTTTAACCTAAAAACAACAAATAAAATTTACATATTTTGATTCTGAACATATATTTAGATCGTTACACATAATTTTTCACATATATTTTAGGTTAGAGTATGAGGAAATTCAGTTTAAAGTCTTTCTGTAAAATTATCTGTAAACTGAGATTCTCTACTGAAATATAATAATTTTAAATATCCCGCGTTCCATTTTCTGGTCGTTTAGTTGAGTAAGTAGTTCATCAGGTCGCTAGCATCGAGTGACGTCACACTGTGCCAGTTTTATGTATGCAACCAAGCACTCTCTTATTTGTAATGTTGGATATAGATTAATAAATTTAAATATTTTCTAGCAGTGTCATCTATTGGCTACTTTACTAGTTTAATAATGTATCACTTTCCTTTTTTAGCGTAGTAGCAAAATTACAGTCATAGAGTAAACACGTGTTTCATTATCTCCATTTTTGTTCCAGAACTTTATAATTTCTCAATACCGTAGAGGGGGCGCAGGGGTTCCGCATCCGTCCGACGGTTAAATAAAAAATTCGTAGAAAAGACTCATAACTACATATAATTACGACTTTTCACTTAAACCCTGATATAGTGCGCTGCAACCATTTGTAGTACATAAAAAGTACATAAAACCGGTATCTGTGTTTAGTGTCCTTGACCTACTACCACCTTACGCAATTGTCAGCGGGCAGCGGTTTACAACAATGACGTATAATATGTAGACTCAGTGAACGCTTTAAAAAGTGTCCAAAACATGAATACCTTTGTTATTGTTTATTGTTTTGATACGAAGATGCACGAAGTTCATGATTTCGTACGAAGCATCACGAAGTTGATCTTGTGTTTGAAAACATCATGGACGTATGAAAACATTTTCTCCATTTTGTGTGACAAGCAAATTTTATTTTAAATTGTTGAGAGTTATTTACATACTATTTTAGTAAAATACCATACTATTTTATCAATATAATTAGTTCTCTTATAGACGGGAACAAAAAGAAATCATAAATATTTAATTTTAATTAAAAAAATATTTATTGTCATTAACATATAAATGAGCACGCCGCTGTTCTGATAAACATACCTTCAACCTTGAGCCGAGATCTTTCGGACACTCGATTCTATAGCGAGAATAGGGGACTGCGTAGTCTATATATTATACGTCATTGGTTTACAACCAGATTACATCACGGTTGCCATCAAATGGTGCTGGCGAATCACCTTGCAGCGAAGCCATAAAAAACAGAAGAAGAAGAATTGTAGACAATGTTGTTGAAATACTAAAAAAGAAGAAGAAGAACATAACATAACCATAGATAAACTGTGTGCACATACATACCCGGTTTGGTTATATTTATAAAAAAAGTAAAGAATTATTTCTAATGCTGTGTTCTGTTCAAATACAAAACAACATAATTTTGAGATCTAAAAAAATTCAGCAATAAGTTAATATGAAAGTTATTATACCTGACGATATTAAATCGTCCGTCAAAAGTTATTTAGAAGAACTTGAATGCTGCAAACGATGCGTTTTAAGATACCTAGGATATTCAATATATGATGAAGCTGAAGGAATTAATGCTGAAGAACAAGTGAGTAAATATCTATCGAACTAACATGTATGTTATATTGTGGTTTCTCCATACTTTTTATTTTCCTCATGAACAATACAATGTGTCTTCTATCTATGAGTAGTAGATTTATGTAAAATAAAAATATCTTTTAAGTTTATGCAAATATAAAAATTAGTGTTTAAAGCAGAATACTTTTTATTAGATAAAAATGCAGCCTCATCAAGTTCTGTACATCTTTTGTGATTCACATACTTTTGCTGATTCCTCCAATTTCAATTTCAAAGCATTTTATATTTTAGGATAGCTTAGAGATTTTTACAGTTTTTTTTTCACTCATATAATAACCTATAGTACTTTCTTAATGAGCATAATTTGGTTACAATATATTTTTATAATAAATTATAACATAAATTTTAAGTATTTTCTGTTCTTTGATGTAAGAAATTATCTTATTCTGTACTTTGATCTGTCTTAATTTTATATAATTGTTTATTTTATCCTTTATTTGTGTATTAATATCTACATTCTCGATGTTGTTATATCTTCGTTAATAAAAATGGCACTATTCCAAGTATTAGTACTATGGGCAAAGGTCATAATATTTTATCACCTGCTGAATTAATTGTAAAATGATTACTTAATACTAAAACTATTTTCAAGTATAATTTCCTTTTAGAATGGTGTTACTGAAAACACTGACAATCCAGCTAAAAAAATGAAAGCAAACCCGTGTAGGGTCTGTTTGGATATTTTGAGTGAACAATCAATGGAGAATTATTTAACTACATTTCCTTCAGACTTTGAAGACTATAAAATTCCTAGTGTAACAACATGTGTAGCATTTCCTACTTCTGTGATTCTCAGGGAGCACAGTATGCTAGTTGCTTTAAGGAACAAATTTCCCAATGTATATGCAGATATAAATCTAAACAGTGAGTATTAGTTTTCTTTCCATAATGTCCACACCAAAAGCGAGTAATAAAGCTTCATTAGACAATCAGCATGATTCTTTGTAATCAGAATTACAGTGATATATTACACGACCTGTTTTTTTTTATTTTTGGAGCCATCAGTAAAAATATATTTAAATAGAGGCCACTTATCTTTAATTATTTTGTTGATAGTGCTGCCTGGAATGTTTGAATCCATCTAATATGTTTGAATTACTTTAGAATAGAGAGGCTCAAGAGGTTGAATGTAACTTGGTGGTTTTTTATTTTTGTACAATTGGTCTTCATATCTTGTCAGTTTCCTGTAGCTTTCAATGTATGTGCAAGATTTTTTTATTACACCAATCTTCTTCTTCTTAGGGTGCCTGTCCGTTCCGAATGTTGGCGATCATTCTGGCTATGATGATTTTGTTGGTTGCTATACGATATAGCTGTGTTGAGGTCTTTCTATACCATGCTCTCAGGTTAGCAAGCCAGGATATTCTTCTTCGTCCTGGGGCTCTTTTTCCTTCAATTTTACCCTGCAAAATGCATTGGAGTAGCTCGTATCTGCCTTGATTTCTCATAATATGTTCCAAGTACTCCAGCTTACGGCTCTTCACAATGTTGACCAAATCCAAGGTTCTGTTCATCTTCCGCAGTACTTCTTCATTGGTAACTTTGTCTGTCCATGGTATCTTCAGGATTCTTCTGTATAACTATAATTCAAACGCCTGGAGTTTTGTTAGAGTTTCTGCCTTCAATGTCCACGTTTCTACTCCATACAGAAGCACTGAGTACACGTAACATTTAAGGAGCCTTATTTTTGTTTTCAGGGTGAGGTCATGGCTTTTGAACACAGAGCTCATAGCCAAGAATGCACTTTTGGCCTTTCCGATGCGACATTTAATCTCTTGTGTATTGTCTTACGACTTATTGATTATAGTTCCCAAGTAATTGTATTGTGAGACACGTTCAATTCTCATTTGGTTCACATACAAGATTTGCTCCAGTTATGTTTTGCTTGCTGATGATCATTAGCTTGGTTTGCCTCTTCAAAAATGTGCTCCGAGTACAGATTGAATATCAGTGGTGAAATTATGCACTCCTGTCTCACTCCTCTTAAGATTTTGACCTGTTCTGTATATTCTCCATCTATTCGGAGTACCGCTGATTGATTCCAATACAGATTAGCTATAATTTTTAAGTCTCTTCCATCAATCCTTGTCCTCTTCAGCACTTCTATCATTTGTTCATGCCTGACTCTATCGATAGGCTTTTTGTAGTCAATCAGGCATGCAAAAACATTACAGCTGACATCTCTACATTTCTGAAACAAGATCTGCACACTAAATAAAGCTTCCCTCGTACCAACGGTGTTCACAAATCCAAACTGATTGGGCGCAATTTGTTCCTCGCATTTCCGGTAAATTCTTTTGTGGATGACCTTTAAAAACAGCTTCAGCAGATGGCTCATTAGGCTTATTGTCCTATAATCTTCACAAACTTTTGCTCCTGGGTTTTTTGGGCAATGGTACGAACTCCGATTTGAGCCACTCTACTGGTATTTTTCCTGTCTTGTATATTTCATTAAATATATCAGTTATTAATTTTTTTTATTTATTTTATATATTTAATATAATTTTATATATTATATATTTTATATATTTTTTTAATATTACACCAATATTTGTGAGTTAAATCTAGTATCTTCAAGTTACCAATATTTTTTGAGTGGCAGAAGTTTTTTGAGATACCCCTAGTTACAAACTTATCTTTGCAAAACTGTCTGGGTATTGTAAGTGGTGGTTCGTTATCTTGAATTTCCATAATTTATTTATTTATTTAACCTACTTTAAAACACAAAATGATAGTTATTACATTAAAAGAATGCTTACTACTGCTAAAAACTTAACTGTAGAAGTGTTAAGAAACATTTTGGTATCATCGAACCATTGACTTACTGAGTTCAGATCACATTTCAGCAACTCAGAGTACTACAGAGTTGAAATTTCTCGAAAAATCTTAAAATCATCTGCAAATAGCAGGCTTGTCGAAAATTTCAATTTCAAAATTGTTAATAAATATAGGGAACAGAAGCGGACCCAAGTTCATAAACTGTTCCCCACTTTAACTTGATTTAACCTATCATACTTAGAAAGATATGACCTCATAAACATACATGCTTCTGAATCAAAATCAAATTTGCTTAGCTTTTCAATAAGTATAGAGTAATCAATCTTATCAAAAGCTTTGGTACAGTCGGTAAAAATGGCATCTAGCTGAGTTTTATTATTTATGACCCCTGCTGCAAAACTTGTAAAAACGCACAAATTTGACACAGTGGACATCCCTGGTAAAAAAACTGTGTTGTTCTGGATAGAACCTATCTCCACAGTAATTCAAAATATTGTTTTAAAGCACATTATTGAATATCTTAGCAATTAAATTGATGACAGATATAGGTCTATAGTTCTCAACATTACCACTACTACCAGATCTAAATATGTGTTATAACTGCACGCTTTAAGCTACCTGGAAATTCACTTTGTTAAAGGGGCAAATTAAAATTAGTGTGAGAGGGACAGAAAGAGTCTCTGCACAACCTTTAAAAATGTATGCTGTTATATTGTCATTACCTGTGGCTTTTTTGGTTTTAGTCTTTTAATGCTTTGGAGACCATTATCCACTGTTATTTTTGAAAAGTAAATTCCCCTCATTCATTGTACTATTGACACTATTTGATCTTTGAAATACATTGCCAAATATTCTGCAAAAACATTTGCAATATCCTAACAGCTACTTATGTCCACACCCACAGCCACCTTTACTTCCAAGCCATGAAGTAAAAAAGGCAACACCGCATTCTATGACGTCGGTAGTCCGATAATCAGCTGTAAGGTCTACCAGAATATTAAACTAATTTGAATTTTAGGAAACTGATATTTTGAAAACTTCAATTCATTACAGAAATATTTTTAGGGAAATTAAATTAATAAAACCTTATATATACCTAGTAAATATATATAAAGTTTTATTATTATTTAGGTTATATTATCAATAAAATAATCACTAGAGTAAAATTTATTGCACTTAAAATACAGTGTCAAACAGTTAATCTTACAATCAAATGCAGTCAAGAATCTCTAGAAATTTTAAATATTAAGTACCTAAGCATATAAATAACACAATACATTAACACGACATTTAAAAAGATTATTAAAAATACAAAAGATATAAAATTTGTGCTAAGTAAAAACTTAGTGTAACTATTATGAATAAAAAATTCATCCTAAGAAATCAGACACAATATAAATATGGTTCTAAATTAATCTAATTGAAAATTAAATATTTTACTATTTACTTATAACTTTTGTTGAATTTTCATACTTAGATATACAAAAGTAGCAATTTTAAATATGAATAGGTTTGTTGTCATATAGACCAAGTTAAAAGAGGTATACATGAAAAATGTGTTGAATGTAACATACCATTTATAACTTGTATATCGATTTAAAATAGCCTATATTCTCAAAAGATTTTTGAATGTAATACTCAAATTTGTTATCACTTATCTAAAAAGCAGATCTAAATGAGAAAGTAAGTTCTCTAATTGTGACCATCTTGTTAATTTAATATATTGTAAAATCCATTTCAAATCATTACCACTTAATCTATTCTTACCTACATTAACGATTACACTAAAATTACTGGTAACTATTACACTACATATTACACAAATATTATCACACTTGTGTTCCAACTGATTAATGTTTAATACATAGAAATATACACAGTCACTTGTAATTTTACTTGTCCAGTTTTTCAATGGGATATTATTGTCTAAGTCTAATTGACATAATTATGTTATCTCTTGTTCCCTCTTCTTATGCAAAAAGTTTCTTCTGTCTTCGGGATTCCTTCTTTCTTTAGTACGATGAACAGTTACATATGATGGTACTTCAGGAAATATATTAGGAACTGCATTGCCTTTTAATTTGGGAAATATTAACTTTTCAATGTTCATGAAAATGTTTGGCACATACTACGGAAGATTTGGTAATTGTACAGCCTTCTCTATGAATAGAGCATAAGCCAGTATACCTTCTTTGGGGATCTTTTGGAAACAAAAACATACTTTCTGCCTGTTTCGTTTTTAAAGTACTGGCATAATTGGTTTTGCAACCAGGTACACAACAATGCCAGAGCATCTGTAACAAAAAAACAAAAGTATTATTATTGTTGTTTTCAGTTTACATATTTTGTAACAAGAAGCAAAAGTATTATTATTTTCAGTTTGTTTTGTAGGTTATATTTATACTTGCCTTTTAAATTGTCGTTAAGAATCTTCTAAAAGTTCTAAATTTAATGAAATTTTACTTATATTAATATTTTCTAATTGATTTAAACACAATTTACAAATAAAACATTCGAATAAAGTTAAAAAAACAATAAATTCAACAAACTTTACAAGCCTTCCTATATGAAATGTTAAACCAAAACAAACCACAGTCGGACTACCACGCGTTGTTGCCAAATTTCTACTTCATGGCTTGGAAGTAAAGGTGGCTGTGCTACACCCCTATAATAGACCTCTGTTGAAATTGTATTATTTACACCACAGGATTTTATAGACCAAACACTACCAGGGTCAATTTGTATATTATTCTCAATATTTTCATTGTGACACCTATATATGCTTTCCTACTAAGCTGTTTCACCTCTCGTCTTAGTGATTTATATTCAGCCAAAACCAAAGCAATTGCAGATTTATTTACCTGCCTATAAAGACGATTTTTACGTTTAATCTTTGATATAAGTTCCAAAGTAGGAAAGTAGGATACCTGTTTATTGTTCTTAATACATTCCTCGACTGTTTTTTGCGTAATTAGACCATATAAAAGATGAAAATCACCCTTTGTGACCATAAAATCAAGAAAAGGATGATATATGTCCTCATTAATAAGTGGTACATTGCATTTAATTACATTTTTGACATTCATGTTTGATGAATGCTTGGATGAACCTTCTTTGCATGCATGTAAGATTATGAATATATCAATAAAATTGGTTAACAAATCATTTTGCGCAGCTCTTATTACTATAAAAAGGCAAATTAAAATCACCTAACAACAAAAAATTTACATTAGTACCCAAATATCAAAACCAGATAAAAACTTTATATAACCATCATCATATATAAATTAAAATTATATTTTATACATTTATTTATTTTTTTTTTTTTCATTTAGATTTAGAAGATTTAAAGAGAATTTTTAAAACAACATCATCAACATTGATAAGCCAAAAAATTAACAAAGTTCATTCTCCTAGTGCAGATTTTCAAGTTAATATAAATATAAAATATGAAGATGACACTAAGGTATGTTCAATTATAGATCAATAATTATATATAATATATATATATATATATATATATATATATATATATATATATATATATATATATATATATATATATATATATATATATATATATATGGTTTTAACCAGGAGGAGTAATTCAAATTTACTGCGCCGGAATGCTTGTTTGTAATTGGTCCAACCGCAGGCAAGTGTACTACATTAAATTATATCATTTTGACACTAATAAAATTTATGAAATTTTAAAATTCAGAATTTATATCGACGATTTTTTCTATTTTCTGCGTTATTCCTTTAATTTTTAGATTTTTCGTTTGAATTTTTATAAAAAACAGTTTTTTTCAGAACTATTGAGCGACGTATTAGTGTTATTAAGATAACAATATGGATTCAATGCCAAATACTAGTGGTATTTATCCTTCTCCACCTACAAAACGCCGAGTATATTTAGGTCTCTCTCTCTCTTCAATCCTGACCCCCCAGGAGGAGTGTAGTGGTCGACGTGATGTTGTGTATTGTCCGTCTCCAGAGATCTCTGTCTCTGGTCATTTCTTTTAATTCATGCATAGGTCTCTGGCATATTCCTGTAATTTGATCTATCCATCTTGTTGGGGATCTTCCTCGTGATCTTCGGCCTTCTACCTTTCCTTGTATTATGAGTCTTTCCATGTTTTCTGTGTTTGCTCTCATAACATGCCCAAAATATTTTAATTGTTGGAGATGGACTTTACTAGAGAGTCGTTGGCTAACTTTTAGCTCTCTTAAAATTGAATTATTTGTTCTACGGTCGGTCCAAGGAATTCGTAACAGTCGTCTCCAACAGAACATTTCAGTGGCGTCTATCTTTCTTCTCTCCGATTGTCTCAGAGTCCAAGATTCACATCCGTAGGTCAGTATTGGGAATATTAAGCAGTTGATCAACCTCATCTTTATCGCTCTTGAAATTTGACAGTCCTTCCATATTTTGGTCATTTTTGCTGTGGCAACTTTTGCTAGATCACATCTACGTTTAATCTCTTCTTGTAATTACCCTGTGTTTGTGATTAATGATCCCAGATATAAGTATGAGCTCACATCCTCGAACCGGTCAATTGTGGTTAAGTGTGGATGATTGTTGTGTAGTCTATCCACTATCATGATCTTTGTCTTTAATATGTTTAATTGCAGACCAAACATTTGACTTTCGTTTTCGATCAGTCGTATAAGTTCCATCAGCTCTGCTTGACTATTTGCAAGAAGGGCTGTGTCATCTGCGAAACGTAGGTTGTTTAGTTTATGACCATTTATTGAGATGCCCTTTTCCCATACTTCAAGTGCTCTTCGCATAATATACTCCCCATATATGTTGAATAATTGTGGAGATAGTATACATCCTTGTCTGACACCCCGTTCTGGATGAAACTCGTTCGAAAGTGTGTCAAGTACTTTAACTGATCCAGTAGTGTGTTCATATAGTTCAGTTATAAGCGTAATTAGATGTTGTGGTACACCTACTTCTTTTAGTATTCGCCGTAAGTGTCTCCACTTGACCCTGTCGAACGCTTTACCGTAATCTATAAAACAGATGTATAGTGGGATGTTGAATTCCCTAGATTTCTCGATTATCTGTCTTATATTCAGCAGGTGTTCTCGAGTGCCTCTACCTTTGGTAAATCCAGTTTGCTCTTGTGGAATTTCTCTTTGAAGGAATGTTTTCAGTCTCTCATTGATTATATGTAGCATTATCTTGCTGGCATGGGATATAAGAGAGATTGTTCTATAATTGTCGCATTTATGGAAGCTGCCTCTTTTATGTATGGTCGTTATTGTAGATTTTGTCCAGTCTTCAGGCCATTGTTTGGAATAGTGATGTAACGAATATTCGCATTCGCATTCGCGAATATTCGCATATTTTTGCATATTCGCATTTGCATTCGCATTTGCAAAATTTGTGCGAATGTTTTGCGAATATTACACAGCTTGCATTTAGCTCGTTCAGTATCGAAAAGTGGTGAAAAATAAGTCCATATTGCACTATAATTTGATTTACTCATAGTAATAAATCGCTAATCACACTTTAACTAAAAATTCACTTGTATTTGTGCATCAGCAGAGCAGGGCAAGTGGAGTGACTTGTGTCCCGTGAAATTTTTATTGGAACTATAACCAGAGAACTTAGTTCTCTGCTATAACTTTCTCTCTATAACAAGTCAAATTTGATTATAACAAGAGAAAATAAGATCGAAAAACGTGCTTTCTACGTTTTTGTCCCGGACGTGACTATAAATAAATACCTTTTTAAACTACCCCTCAATAAACTTAATCGCCTACAATAAACTTCTTTACAATAAATACTAATTCACATCTTTACTTTAGCAAATATGATAGAATGATACTGGACAATTTAAAGCAGTTAAAAATGACAGAGTTTTTCCAATTGACTACACATCTCGCGGAAATGAGACTGCCGGCAGTGCCAGAGACAATTAAAATTGCCAAATTAAAAAAAAACTGAATATTCGCATTCGCGAATGTCGGTGGCATATATTCGCATTCGCATTCGCGAATGTTTAAAAAATGACATTTGTTACATCACTAGTTTGGAATGCCATATTTGGTTACAGATTAGATGAAGTAACTTTACGCCGGTTTCTTCTGTGGCTTTAAGCATTTCTGCTGTTATCATATCTGGACCTGGTGCTTTGTTATATTTGAGTTTGTTGATAACCTGTCTTACTTCATTTTTGAGTATCTCAGGTTCTTATTCCACCTCGTCAGAGATTTGGCTAACAAGCTCTTGGCGTTGATCATCTTTATATAGGTCCCTGCAATACGATCTCCATGTCTCTGCTATGTCTTCTCTTTTTGTTCTCAGGGTTCCAGTGTTATCTTCAATGGCCCAAGTTCTGGCTCTGAAGTCTCTTGTCAGGTAGCGTATTTTTCTAAATAGATCTCTCGGCTGATTATTCTGACCATGTCTCTCAATTTCTTTGCATATACTTTGATAGTACTGTTTTTTTCTCGGCCTTACATCTTCGTTTTATTTCTTTATTGAGGTTTCTTAAACTAGCTTTTTCCCTTTCAGTATGTACACCACTTTTACAAAGATTTCTTCTATTCTCAATTATTTTAAGAGTTTCATCTGTTATCCAGTGTTTCAGATTTGGGTCATTTATCATCAATTGAAAAACAATGCATTATAAATATGTACAAACAAATAAAAATTGATAGTCCTGGAATGAAAATAACAGCCATGGTAGCTAAAATAAATCAGTCAACATGGTAGTTTTGCACAATAGTTACTGTTAAAATCAAGACTTACTAAAGTACTGTGCTAATTTTAGGTGTTGCGAATTTAACTATTTACTGAACAATTAAAGAATATAAGCAGACTGGAACAGTAAGATGTCCTAAAAAATTATTATTCAAACATAAACAAACAAATTTAGGTTAGAATCAACGTGTGAGGTTGTCCAATACTGATTACTTTATTACCGCAAGGCCGAGATAATCAACCAAAAAAGCAAATGTATTTGGTGACTTTTCTAGTAACTTTCTTGGGTGTAAATCTGTCTTTTTAGTTTACTCCTCCTGTTTAAAAAACAGACCATAAGGTAACTTGTTATCCAAGTTTGCTCATTAACTAAACATTTTACAATTTTTATATTCTTCCTCATCAGGTAAAATGATAATTTAATATCCTTTATTCTAGGAAACAGAAGGATTTATTAAAACACATCCAAAAGTATCTGCCAAATTAAATTTGCCTGGCTTTCTTAAGACATACAAGGACGACAAGTTCAAAGATGTTTTTCCAGTGCCTCCCGAAATTCCGAACAAATCCGTTTCGGCAGAAATAAGCTATTCGACGAATCCCGTATATTTAGGAGGTAGATATTTGAAATTTTCGCGGGAAATGGGGCAAACGCCTTTCATCGTCAATAATGTAGCTGTGACGGAATCCAGCGTCCAAGAAACTATATTTCCTGCAATAAGTGAAGTATTGGGGTAAGTTTCATAGTTTATTAAATTTGTTTCAGAGAGGTTTTACTAGGAAATGGTTTTAGGTGTTCGGGGGACCATATGGTGTTTTCAGCGAGCGGTCGAGAGGATAGTGACACTAGGATGCTAGGCACCGGTAGGCCGTTCTATATACAAATTAAACAGCCAAAATTTAATTCTGTAAGTAAAGAGCAGTGTAGGACTATCGAAAAATTAATAATGCTGTCAAACACTGTAGTAGTGAGAAAACTTCAAGGGGTAAGTGACGTTTTTATTCATTATTATCATTAGACTTCGGCAAATATGCAAATAAAAATGTAGAAAATATGCGCATAAATATGCAAGTGTTTACCCGAAAATATGCAAATATTTTACAAAATATGCATACAAATAAATAAAAAAATCGTAAAATAGTAACAATTTTATTAAAAAAAAATTGTACATAACTAAATATTTCCTACTATTCATTAAGATTTACATTTATTTTAAGTAACTACATCATTTTTAAGTATGAATACACTTATTTAGAATTATGGTAACAATAAATGACCAAGTGGTGTTCAAAATTTTCTAACAAAAACTTGTGGCTTCTGTCTGAGTACATATATTTATATATGGACAAACTTCTTTCAACATCAACTGATGTAACGGAAGCATTTTTCAAACGAACCAAAACATTTGGTTCTAAATTAATTGTTTCCGAAATATTTCCAGCTAGAACACTGACTACTTCAGAAAGAATATGGTAACCTTTATGTTTTTCCATAGTAGCTTCAAATTTTTTTAAAATATCTTTTCCAATATTACCTCTAACGTTCCGACAACATGACGCAAATTCTTTTATTAATGCTGTACTTTCGAACAATGACAGTTTTGGTGATTCTAACTGAGTAATTGTTTTTTGAACAAAACTAAAATTTGATTTTATAAATGAAAATTCTTGTTGAAGCAAGTTACTCTGAAAAGGTTGTTTAGAATCCAAAAGAGTTTGGAAACTTTCATCTGTTAACGTATCAATTATGTTCTTTATTTTAACAAAATGATCTGCATAAAAATTAGCTGCTTCTAACCATGTTCCCCATCGCGTTAAAATAGGTTGTGGTGGAAGAGGAATGTTAGGTAGCATTTCTTTATAAAGTTGAATTCCTATAGGAGATTTATGAATCATTAAGATTTAAACATCTCCTTTAAAACCAAATATAACATCAAGTCCATCTTCAGCAAGACCAAAGACAAAGTTGACAAACTAAACAGAAGTGGTATTTACAAGCTGTCCTGTGGTGACTGTAATATGACTTATGTAGGTAGAACAATGAGAACTCTGAATCAAAGAATCAAAGAACACCTCAATAACCCAGAAAAATCAAACTTTGGATATCACATTAAATTTAATAATCATTCCTTTTCTCCTTCTGAAAACAGTAAAATTTTACACAACATTCCCAATAAAAACTTTAGACTCATGAATCTCTTGGAATATCTTGAGATATCCAAAGAAATGAAACTAAACCCTGATCGTTGCTTAAACACACAAATCAACCTCAATTGCAATTATAAACCTCTTTTTAAATTATTATGGGAGACTTTAGAGGAAGAAGGGTGACCTCATGCAATCTTATTATATATTTTTCATACTTTTATATTTTTAAACAAATTTTAAACTTTATTAGAAATTTACAACATTTTGTAATTCATTTGACAGTTGTTCGTAATTGAAACATGAAAATACATTCTTAAAAAAATTTATGCAAATTTCTTACAAATTTCCATCAAGAGATACAATTCTCAATACACTTAAGTATCAGATAACGTAACATTAATACCATGTTTCTTCTTTATATTGTTGTTGAACAATTTGAGCCCTTGTTTCTTAAGAATAGCTGTCAGATTGAACATACTTTGACCTTGAGCAATGACTTGAGTGAATTTACAAACTAATGTCATTCTGTATGATGTGATGAACACATAAAATTTAATTTAAAAACTTAATTTTTAGAAAGTCTTTGATGACTATTAGTAATTCCAAACTATTAAATAATTTTGTAAGAATTTAAAAAAACAATCTCTATTTCCTATATATGACATTTGTCAACTGTCACTTTTGAAAAATCGTTTAAAAGGACGACATTTGATTTCATTAGTTCTATTCTGTCTACATCCTCACATCAATCAATGGTCGGGTTCTTACACCCGTACCATGACAAAATTTTTTTCAATTTTTTAACGTGTTTGTGAAGTCCAGTGTCGGCTTTTTATATGTTTTATATGTTTTAAACAAATTTCAACAACTAAAAAAATCATTATTTTGAAATATAAGGAAATGAGATCTCTCCTTTGTAGTGGTATTTAAAAAATTGACGTAAGTTAAAAATTATAATCTTTACCAATTAGTACTTATAAGAACATTTTATTGTAGCATAGCTCTGATGATGGCTTTGTAAAGTCGAAAGCGCTCAGCTAGGAATTGCCTAAAAAATATACACACTTCAAAAATACTTTTTTGCATTTTCTTTCGACTAGTTTTTTTTTTTGTTTACTTTAGAACCAGCCAGTCACGAGAAAGGTTTCCAGATACAATCAATTTTCTATCACAAAATACGGAACATGCTAGATCAGTTAAATGTCTGGGTCTTCATTTGGGGGGGGGGCAATAAAAAATACAACAAAAAGCTAAATAGAGCCTGCCACTCATTAAGAGTGCAGGGGATTTTACTATCAGTATATTATGCAAACTTTTATTCCGTTATGCGATATAGAGTAATCGTCTGGGGTGCTGCAGTAGATAGCTCAACTGTCTTTATAGTCCAAAAAAGGCAGTCCGGGTGATCTTAGGACTACAGGCGAAAGAATCATGTAGAGGCCGATTCAAATCACTCAATATACTCACTTTCTCAGCCATCTATATATTTAAATGTACCTGTTATGTTCCTTTTTTAAATTTTACTTTGTTTTATCACCTGCTTTCCAATCATAAATATAATACAAGAAGCCTTAATTTGAATTTGCCACTTCACAGATTATCTATAACAGAGAGAAGTCCTTTGTATGTGTGTGTGTGTTAAATTTTATAATAGTCTACCATCTGACATTCAACAAGAAACACACTAAGTATAGAGCTTTTAAAAGAAAGGTTTTTTTAACACCTAGTTAATATTGAGCATATCAGTATATTTAATTTGTAATGTTAATATATTTTACTGTGTGATGTAGGATAAATACACTTTTTAGTAAAATGAGAAAAGGCAGCAAATATTTGATTTCACGCAAACAAATCCTATGTATCTCTTGATACGTATTTCGACCTAATAGGTCTCGTCAGAAGAGCTATTCATAGGGCTTCTCAACGTGAAAAATCAATATTTTCTGCCTTTTAAGAAGCAACAATAACATGGCTTCAATACGGTCGCAATAGCGACATCTAATTACAACAATCGTAAAATAGTTTCGAAACACAATTCAGATTTCTGCTTTATAATCTGAGCCTTCTAAAAATTGCAAGGCAAACAGACGGTGATAAAATATGTTAAAAGAGACATGGGGAATCTAAAATTTGCATTCCACGACATGTCTTTTACAACTAAGCAGAAATCCTTAGCGAATTGTGCTTCTTGTACTCACACAGAGTAAATACGAATACAATGAGAAAAGGCAGCAAATATTTGATTTCACGCAAACAAATCCTATGTATCTCTTGATGCGTATTTCGACCTAATAGGTCTCGTCAGAAGAGCTATTCATAGGGCTTCTCAACGTGAAAAATCAATATGTTCTGCCTTTTAAGAAGCAACAATAACATGGCTTCAATACGGACGCAATAGCGACATCTAATTACAACAATCGTAAAATAGTTTCGAAACACAGTTCAGATTTCTGCTTTATAATCTGAGCCTTCTAAAAATTTCAAGGCAAACAGACGTTGATAAAAGATGTTAAAAGAGACATGGGGAATCTAAAATTTGCATTCCACGACATGTCTTTGACAACTAAGCAGAAATCCTTAGCGAATTGTGGTTCTTGTACTCACACAGTGTAAATACGAATAAAATGAGAAAAGGCAGCAAATATTTGATTTCACGCAAACAAATCCTATGTATCTCTTGATGCGTATTTCGACCTAATAGGTCTCGTCAGAAGAGCTATTCATAGGGCTTCTCAACGTGAAAAATCAATATTTTTTGCCTTTTAAGAAGCAACAATAACATGGCTTCAATACGGTCGCAATAGCGACATCTAATTACAACAATCGTAAAATAGTTTCGAAACACAATTCAGATTTCTGCTTTATAATCTGAGCCTTCTAAAAATTTCAAGGCAAACAGACGTTGATAAAAGATGTTAAAAGAGACATGGGGAATCTAAAATTTGCATTCCACGACATGTCTTTGACAACTAAGCAGAAATCCTTAGCGAATTGTGGTTCTTGTACTCACACAGTGTAAATACGAATAAAATGAGAAAAGGCAGCAAATATTTGATTTCACGCAAACAAATCCTATGTATCTCTTGATACGTATTTCGACCTAATAGGTCTCGTCAGAAGAGCTATTCATAGGGCTTCTCAACGTGAAAAATCAATATTTTCTGCCTTTTCTATTTTCAATAATTAGAATTTTTAAAAAATATTCAGTCAGTCAATATTAGGAAACAAGATGAGATACACTATTTAAAATGTTTATAAAATTGAAAACCAACACTCATAATCAAAACAGCAACCTCAAAGGTAAATAAACAACAACACGATACAAAAAATTATATCGAATGATCCAATATTTCAGCTAATAACTACTGTCAACTTCAAGATTACTGCCGATTGAGAGCGAACAATGTTCCAGTACTTGTCATCGCTGGCAACAATGTCGCTATTCAGAGAATTAAATTTCGTGAAAATTAAAATATTAGAATATGATATAGGTGCTGCCATCTACCCAAAGGATTGTTTAACGATAATTTATTTGAATGCCACTAATTTTAACTGCGTCGCAAACATACCCCCATAGAGAAATAACAATAAGAGAGTGATCAAAAGATAGGGAAAATTGTTCACATTTGTTTCTGCGCAGGTAAGTAGCACATCGGGGCGCTGCTGTTTATGAAACTAAAATTTACCATGGTACAATAAAGTATTTTGATTGTACTATGAAAATTTACATTGTTGACATTGACTTTTTAGCATAGAGTTTTAGGTTATACATAATCATATTGTATGTTTATTTGTATATACAAAATTCTTTCTTTACTAAAGGTTCTTCTGTGTTTAGTTATAATTTATGGTATTTGTAATCGTCCGTATTGGACGTATTGTATGTAGGTAATATTATTAGTTTATCATTTTGCAATCTCAAATATGTCCAAACCCGGTAAATATGTTCATGGGTGTTTAGCGTCCTTTTGTAATAACAAATATTTTCATCCTATCACAGACCCAAATTATAAAAATAAAAAGTTTTTTAGATTTCCAGAAACAGATTTAAAAAGACGTCATAACTGGTTTGAAATTATTGGTATTGAATTTACTGAAACTAGGCGTTATTTATGTGAAGATCATTTTGAGGAAACACAATTTACAAGCAGTTTAAAAACAAAACTGTTGAATAATGCAGTGCCTTTCAAAATAATTCACATATCCAATGTTCATAATCAACTTTTGCTTATACCTGCACATTCTTCTGAAGAAATTTCTGTTTCAAATGTACACATTCATAGTAATGTTCAAATAGTTCCTCCAAAATTATCCTCCATTAATAACCCAGTCAATAATAAACAGTCAATTTCCAGTCAGTATGATAGTAAGTATGATACACCACCACCTACACGTAAGCGATTGCGTATTTTAAAAGAAATTAATGAAAATAGAGTAAAAGATCTTTCTCCTAAAAAGAAAAAGTTATATTTTTTAAATCGAACTCAT